CGTGCGGCATTCTTTGAAGGACAGTTTCTTGACCAGTGGCCAGTATTGCCACAAGTCCAACAGATATCGTTGTCCTTTGGTTTATGACTTAGGGGTCGCTGCCTAAGGTGACCTCTTCTGTCTCTGTTTCTCTCCCGGCCTCTTGAGGGGCCGCGGAAAAAGACAGAGGTATCTACTTCTCCAAAATCCTCTAGATGAAAATCATCTGATCCTGTTTTCGGTTTTTTGACTACTTTTTCTGCATGACGTGCCCACGTTATCAGCTGTGGGACTGAGGCAGCATCATATTCAACCAGGTGTTTTTTAATCCGGCCCTAAATTTCAGGGCGGAAACTCGACATTAAAGCGTTTTTTTTTTAGTTGTTGTTGATATACGCTTTCTAGTCCTTCATCATAAGTGATCCCACTGTTAACTTTGAACTCCTACTAAAACCGCAGACGAAAATCGTCTACGTCTTCTCCAACTTTTTGTTTAATTCCTGACAGATGACTATAATTTGCCCTTTTACGGAAATTTGTTCTAACTCTCTCACACAACGGGTTTCATTGTCTTAAAATCATCAGAGAGAGAGAGCAGGATTAGCTCCTGGAGGGTATGGAATTGGAGCTAAAATATTATTAGTTATTTTCCCTGTATAATTTCCTCTTACTTCTACCCAATCTTTTCCTAATGAGGGTATGGCTGCTTCTCTACCCCATTTAATCTATATGAATGGATAAATCCAGTCATGTCTTCTATCCACTTATCAGGGTCTTCTGTTACAGGTGTTATTCCTTCTACAGCCTTTCTGGCCTCTTTTAAGGTCCAGGGTGCAAAAACATATAAGTTTTGTGTACCTTCCTCTAATGAGGGGTACAGTCGTGTTGCTGGGACTGGGGCAGACGGAGCTGCTGCAGCGGTGGGGGAAGGGGCAGCTGCAGGAGCTTGTGCTCCCCGCACCACTACATCATTCCGTGTGCCTTATGACTTTATTATCTTTTGGTCTAACAAATAGGTTTTTTGCTTCTACGAATTTGTTTTCTTTAACC